TTTTCTTTTTGCTTATGTGGTGCTGAGGAATCGAACCCAGGGCCTCATGCATGCAAGGCAAGCACTCTACCACTGAGCCACCTTCCCAGCCCTCTGGTTAGTTTTTTGAGGAACCTCCAAACCATGGCGCCTGGCTCCTATACCTATTTTCTAATGTTTCTCCTACTCCATCTTGCAGTAGTTTGAAAGTCTCAGGTCTGATGTTGAGTTCTTTGATCCATGTTGAGTTGATATTGGTGCATGGGGATCAAATTTTAGTTTTCTACATTTGGATGCCCAGTTTTCCCAATGCCAGTTATGGGAGAGGCTATCTTTTTCCACCCTACGTTTGTGGCTCTCTTGTCAGATACCAGATAACTGTAAGTGTGTGGCTTTATTTTTACAACCTTTGACTTTTTGAGATAGGATCTGATACATAGCTCAGGCTGACCTTGAACTTACTATATAGTCAGCCCCTTTATATTCACAGATAACAGATTCCTGAAAATGTGTATCAGGGTCAAACATAGTTTATAGTGTTCTTTTTCAGCATGGTTTTGGGGATGTTATGGCCCATTGAAGCTAAGCATATACTTGATTACTGATCTACACTCATGACCTCTTAACAGAAACTTTAAAAAAAGAAAGTAATAAGCCAACTATTGGTAGCTCACAACCTGTACTTCTAGCTACTCGGGAGCTGAGGAAGATTGCAGTTCAAGGCCAGCCTGGACAGAAAAGTTTGTGAGACTTGGTTTAATGGCACTTGCCTGTCATCTCAAGCTTCATGGGAGTCTGAAATTGGAAGGATTATGGTTCTGAGCCAACCCAGGCAGAAAAGTCCATGAGACCCCACCTCAGCAGAGGAAAGCTGAACAGGGTGGTGTGCACCTATCATCCCAGCAACCATAGAAAGTCTGAAATAGGTGGATTGTAGTCCAGATGCACACCTAGTCAGGAAGTAAAACCCCATCTCAAAAAGAAAAAAAAGAAACAGCAAAAAGCAAGGATGCAGGTGTAGCTCAGTTGGTGAAGTGCCTGCTAGCAAGCACAAGGGTCTGAGTTCAAACCTCAGTACTGCCAGTAAGTACAATAATAATCACTAGATGTTGAATGACAGCATGTTGTTTTACTGCAGTCTTTTTTATTTGTTTTGGACTTTCCTTGTTTTTGGAAACAGGGTTTTGCTGCGTGGCCCCCAGCTGTCCTCAAAGCTCAAAACCACAACCTCCCTGCCTCCTTCTCTTTAATGCTGGGGATTATGGGTGTGCACCAACATGCCCAGCTTTGCTGCAGTCTCTGAACATCATATTGTAGCATTTTAAAAAATTTCTTAATTTGGTAATTTTTCATAATTGAGTTCATAATGTTTTAAAGTGTGGTAAGCACTTTCTTTGAGGCTGAAGATTTTTGTCCCTTGTAGAACATTCAAAATATTTCCATTTTTATTCACAGTGGTATATCTGTGAATATACTATTCTTTATATCTGCTCTTAGGACTTGAATTTTTCTACATTTGCTTCATTTCCATATAGTAATAAACACAAACCATTAGAAATGGTTGTAAAGGTTTGTTGTTTGTTTTCTCTGTGTGTGTGTATGCTTTGGTTGTTCTGATTTTGTTTTTCTTTTTTGTTGCCTTGTTTTGGTGGTAATACTAGCATTTGAGCTCAGGGTCACTTTTGAGCATTTGGTTAGTTTTGAGATAGCGTCTCACTTTTTGCCCATATACACTTCTGGACTGGAATTTGTTTTATACTTCCCATTGTAGCTGGGATGACAAACATGCACTACCATGTTCAGCTTTTTCCATTAAGATGGAGTTTGGACTTTTATGCCCAGGCTAGTCTGTAACTACACTGTTCCTGATTGAATCCTCCCAATTAGCTAGGATTATAGGTGTGAGTCACTGGTACCCTGCTGGTTTTCAAACTGTTAAAGCCATAAAATCATTTCCTCAATGAAATCTTACCTTGAAACCCAATATTCAATATGAAGTAGAGCTGATATTCTGCTTTACCAATGTCGATGAAAGAAAATGTGCCATAAACTAGCCAAGAGTACATAGTACGAGATAGTACAGGCAAGATGGGACATTCTTTTATCCCCCCCGGTCCCTCACCTTCAGAGTAACACCATAAAACAGTACAGAATTCTCCAGTGGCAGATCACAAAGCTCACTGTGTAGGAAAAGCCATCTGGGACCAACAGTGCACTGTACATGAATATACAGACCAGCCTGTATCTTTGTGAGAAAGAACCGTGCCGTGTCCATACTGAGGAACACAACTCCATAGTAAAAAGCAGATGTTGACACATAACACTTTGGGTGGTCTTAGCCTGAGTTTGATTTTGTTGTTGTTGTTGTGCTTAAAATAAAACACAGCCCCATTGGATTACATATTGAGTAATTCAACTTGAAATAACAAAATTCTAGTGATGGAGAGCAGCTTAGTTGCATGAAGTAGAGGAGGGATCGGGGATGGATGGGATGTAGAGAAGAGAAGTGGCAAAGGACCACTTCTGAATGTTGAGTGTAGCAGTGTTACTGTACTTTGTGTGCACACATACATATACATGTGTGGAAATAATGTAGCATTATGCTGATTATATAAGATGTTATCACTGGGGATAGCTAAGTGAAAGGTACAGATATCTCTGCACTGTTTTTCTAATTTGGCATAAATACTTCAAAGTAAAGAGTTTAAAGTTAGATGACAGTGGCTCATGCCTAGTTACAATATATTAGAAACAGTTTCAGATATTTTCCAGCTTTTATCCTTTCTAGACCCCCTTTTCTTTGCTACTCTAGCTGTAAGCTATCAAGATCTGTGAAACTACAGTCTCAAAGATGGGGCCCAACTATATCATTATACTTGAGTGACATCAACTTTATGATTCGTTTTGTTAGCAAGAAAAGGCAGAGTGACACCTTTTGAGGCACTTATCCTGAAAACCAAGGCCTTCTAAATGCCCATGAATAAATAAAAACCATTTATTTGTAGCATTGAAATTGTATTTTCAGGATTCTTTCAATTTGTTGTCTTGGATTCTGCATGTGTTGAAATTTGTGTTGTAATGCATATATCAGTTTCCAATGACATATTTCATGCTTCTTGGCAGGGTGAATTTGTAAATGAATATGTTGGTGAATTAATTGATGAAGAAGAATGTAGACTACGAATCAAGAGAGCACACGAGAACAGTGTAACTAATTTTTATATGTTAACTGTTACCAAGGTAAAATTGCTTTTGGGGGGGCGGTAAGAAAAAGGGACTTTTTAGACTTATGGCTTTAAGTTGAACTATTTCTTTTAATTTGATGCTTTCAAGCAGATGGTGATTTTCAGTAGCCAGGGGTACTGTCTACTGTGATGCACAAATTATATCATGACTGAAACCTCTACATGCTGTGTGAGATAGCCAGAAGCAGGGCCAGCATCTCTGCATTGTCATCCCTGAGCTTAGTCCCAGCTCTGTCGGTCACTGAGCCTGGGCCCTGTTTCTTTATCACTGATGGAGAGAATCAGTTTTGACTCCCAAGTTATAAACTCCCATTAAATTTCTGATTTAGCAAAAACTAAATTGTTCTGTATAAACTGTTAGGGAAACAATGAGTTGTCATAAGAAAAATGACAGTAAAAATACTAGTCCAGTATCATGTAATTTTTACACTACATCTCTGGTTACACTTCATTTTCTCAATAGTACTCTGATTTATACAGATAAGAAAATGAGATTGAGATGTGATAAGAGACTTGTTGAATATCTTGTGGAAATATTAAGAGCCAAGACCAGTGCCTATATTTCCTGTGTTCCAGACTATTTAAAGGGTTTGATCCCCAGCACCACTGGAAAAAATAAAATATTTATTGGCATATAAAAATACACAAATGCCATAGACACATTACACACACACACACACACGCACACACACACACTGAATAAAATAAATAGCTTAAAATACAAATATAGAAATCATTTTTACAAGGTGTTTTTTTGGTTGGTCATGGGGCCTGAGCTCAGCTCTGAGTACTATCCCTGAATTTTGGTTGGTCATGGGGCCTGAGCTCAGCTCTGAGTGCTATCCCTGAATTTTGGTTGGTCATGGGGCCTGAGCTCAGCTCTGAGTGCTATCCCTGAATTTTTTTGCTCGCGTCTGCTGTTCTACCACTTTGAGCCACACCACCACTTCTTATTTTCTGGTGGTTAATTGGAAATAAGAGTCTTGGGACTTTTCCCATCTGGGATTCGCACTGCGATCCTCAGATCTCAGCCTCCTGAGTAGCTAGGATTAAAGGCGTGAGCCACCGGCACCCATCTTAACAGGCATTTTAACTGCTGTCACTGTTGTAAAGTTTTGCAACTTTCATAAACATGTTACATGAGCATAAATGAAGATGCAGGCTTTTTGTAGTACTCAGTCTGCCTCTTGACTCCTATCCTCCCTGCTGGAGGCCCTGCAGACAGCTGATGACACTCTGAGCCTGTCAGGAGTGTCAGAGTTCAGAGGCATTATGCTCTCTACTGCGTGTGGAACTGCAGTGTAGATGAAAATAGAAAAAAACGGGCAAACACGGCAGTTTATCCACACAGTAGCCTACTTAGCAAACTAACCTCCAGGTCTTCATTTCTGTCTTTGTGGTTGAACCTTGTCTCCCCTACACCAGTTTTCCTTCCTGCTCAGAGCAGGAAGGCAAGGCTGGAAACAACAGTAGAGGAGTTATCTGAACTTGGAGAAAATACATCTGAGTCCACTTATCTTCAAGTACCATTTGTCTGTGGTCTGTTTCTCTAAGCATACTTTCAAAAAAGTTAAGTTCCACTTTGCCCTAATCACTTGGCTTGACAGTCATCTAGTAGACTGGTAACTGCATAAGGAGTGTAGGTCAGGCTTTTAGTGTTGGCAGGCATGCAGCATCTGGGAGCACAGGCTGCTGCCCTGTGGCCCTGGACAGACTGGGTGAGTTTCTGCAGTAGACTTACACTGAGTTTTATGTCAAAGGCATCTTTTTTCTTTTCTTCTTGAAGGACCGTATAATTGATGCTGGCCCAAAAGGGAATTATTCTCGTTTTATGAACCACAGTTGCAATCCAAATTGTGAAACACAAAAATGGACAGTGAATGGAGATGTTCGAGTTGGGCTTTTTGCTCTTTGCGATATTCCTGCAGGTAAAGAAAGTTAACTTGGGGCTGGGAATGTGGTAGAGTGTTTGCCTAGCATGCATGAAGCCCTGGGGTCAATTCCTCAGTACCACATAAGCAGAAAAAGGCAGAAGTGGCACTATGGCTCAAATGGTAGAGTGTTAGCCTTGAGCAAAAGAAGCTCAGGGACAGTGCTGGTGCTCTGAGTTCAAGCCCCAGGACTAGCAAAAAAAAAAAAAAAAAAGGAAAGAAGAGAAAAGAAAAAGTTAACTTGCTCCCTGGGACCTTTACTAATAGGGAAGGCTGACACTCAAGTATTTATTCAAAAAAGATGGCATGGCCAGGCACCGGTGGCTCACACCTGTAATCCTAGCTACTCAGGAGGCTGAGATCTGGGGATCGCAGTTCAAAGCCAGCCTGGGCAGGAAAATCTGTGAAATTCTTATCTCCAATAAACCACCAGAAAACCGGAAGTGGCACTGTAGCTCAAGTGGTAGAACGTTAGCCTTGAGCTGAAGAGCTGAGGGACAATGCTTAGGCCCAGAGTTCAAGCCCCACGACCAAAAAAAGAAATAAAGATGGCATGTTAATACTTGGAATTTGGGTGTTATCTGCAAATGAGAAGTAAAATACTGTGTCCTAAAGAAAAAACAGCAAGAGCCAGGCAGGATTGCATATCCACTCATTTTAAACCCACTATTCTGGGAAACCAATTCCTGACTCCTCCAAATTGTTGCTGTGTGTATGATGTAACCAGATGTCATAAGCTGTTGTTTTCCTTCCTTCCTTCCTTCCTTCCTTTCTTCCCTCCCTCCCTCCCTACCTCTTCTCTCTCTCTCTCTTTCTCTCTCTCTCTCTCTCTCTTTCCTTTTTTTTTTTTAATGTCAGTCATGGGGCTTGAACTCTGGGCTTGGGCGCTGTCCCTCAGCTCTTCAGCTCAAGGCAAGCTTTCTACCACTTGAGCCACAGCACCACTTCTGGTTTTCTGAGTGGTTCATTAGAGATAAGATTCTTATGGACTTTCTTGCCTGGGCTAGCTTTGAACCGCAATCCTCAGATCTCAAGTAGCTAGGATTATAGGCATGAGCCATCAGAGCCCAGCTAACACATTAAAAATAATTTGCTTTTGTTAGCATCAACTGACTTTGTGTCTTCAACTTTTGAAAGATCTTTGTTTCACACTATACAAAAGCCTGGGAAGCTGGAGCTATCACTTTTCATTTGTCCTTCCCCTTTCCTTTGCAGGAAAATTTAGGTTTGTCTTTATTACATATATTTAAAAATTGACGCGAACAGAAATTCTATAGTTAAGACACATTATGTTTTTTGCTGGTACTGAGATTTGAATTCAGGGTCTCAAGCTTGCTTGGCTTGAGTACTGTCTCTGTCACTGGGGCCACACCTCCAGCCTAGCATTTTGATGGTTATTTTAGAGATGGAATCTCAAGGACTCTTTTGGCCTGCATTACTGGAGATTGAACCCAACGCCTTGCTTGTCTACCATCCCAGCCCTAATTTATTTTTACTTTGAAACAGGGTCTTGCTAAGTTACTAGGCTGACCTGGAACTTACCTTGACCTTGTGATCATCCTGTCTCTGCCTCCTGAGTACCTATGATTGTAGGTGTTTGCCACCATACCCTGTACTAAGACAGATTTAAACTCTTTGGGAACTCTGGATTAGTCAGGCCCAGCTGGAAGACAATGTAGGAAGTCCGAGTTTGAACCTTTGAGTTTTTGGTTTATGTAGTTAGCCTTCATTTTTAACTATGTTGGGTTCATTATATAAGGCATTAATTACTGCAAATAACATAGTCATAGTTAGCTTCAGTGGTTTTCTCGAGCATAGATCACAAATTCTTAGCCTTATTAAATTGTTTTCAACCACATTCAGGATATTTAGTATTTAGGGTATTTAGTATTCTTGTACTTGGTGGATGGGGATGTTAGAATTCTGTTAGTTCTTTAGTATGAGTGTGGCTTCATTTCTCTTCATCGTGACTTAAGTATGAATAATTATTTCTCTTACATTTTAGGGATGGAGTTAACATTTAATTATAACTTGGATTGCCTGGGCAATGGCAGAACAGCATGCCACTGTGGGGCAGATAACTGCAGTGGTTTTCTAGGAGTGCGGCCAAAGGTCAGTTGCGCAGAGGGCACGAGGCAAGGGGAGATACAAAATGGAGCTGGGCAGCAGCTTATATATGACTGCCTCACAGAAAGGCTGCTTTATGTTGCAGGCTATCGGTACTTTACCAAAGGTTAGCCACTTCAGCTTTCTAATGAAGTCTATTTTAGTAAGGCCTGTTAAGTTCTAAAATCACATTTTAAATTTACTTGTGTTTGTTTGTGGGGGGGGGTGCCTCAAAGTTGGGGCCTGGGTGCTGTCCCTGTGCTGTTTTTGCTCAAAGCTAATTCTCTTCCATTTTGAGCCACAGAGCCACTTCCAGTTTTTTTGGTGGTCCTGCTTGGGCTGACTTTGAACTGCAATCCTCAGATCTCAGCCTCCTGAATAGCTAGGATTACAGGCGTGAGCTATGGTGTCCAGCCAAACTTACTTTTATAATGATGGATGTTGTGGTATTGTCTAAGCATTAAACTTGCTTCAGTTAACCATCCCCCTTGTAATGAAAGAAAAAAGCACTATTTGGAAGTCAGTGAAAGTCTTGTTTTTATTGGGGTGTTTTTAACAGATAAGTCCATCTCCTGTTGGTAGGAGAGTTCTCATTTCTATGTGAAGCTTCCCACACTGGGGGTGACCACTGAAACTGAGCTCCTTCTCTTCTGCAGACAGCATGTGCGTCAACAGCTGAAGAGAAGGCAAAGAATGCTAAGTTAAAGCAGAAGAGACGGAAAATCAAAACAGAACCAAAGCAGATGTATGAAGATTACTGTTTTCAATGTGGAGATAGTGGAGAGCTGGTCATGTGTGACAAAAAAGACTGTCCCAAAGCATACCACCTTTTATGCCTTAACCTGACTCAGCCACCATATGGTAAGTTAGACCTTCGAGTCTTTCTCTACTTACATCTTTGCCAGATGTGTGTACCTTAGAATGCAAAATAAAAAAATGTTAAGTAGCCGGGCGCTGGTGGCTCACGCCTGTAATCCTAGCTACTCAGGAGGCTGAGATCTGAGGATCACGGTTCAAAGCCAGCCCGGGCAGGAGAGACTGTGAGACTCCTATCTCCAATAAACCACCAGAAAACCAGAAGTGGCGCTGTAGCTCAAGTGGTAGAGCGCTCGCCTTGAGCTGAAGAGCTGAAGGACAGCCCCCAGGCCTAGAGTTCAAGCCCCACGGCCGACCAAAAAAAAAAGAAAAAAAATGTTAAGTAAGCTGAGCACTGTTGGCTCACGCCTGTAATCCTAGCTACTCTGGAGGCTGAAATGTGGGGATTGCCATCCAGGCAGATAAATCTTATCTTCAATACCCAGCAAAAAGCCAGAAGTGTGAGGGAGTAGTAGTTGTCGTGGTAGAGTGCCATCCTTGAGCAAAACAGCCAAGCAAGAATGAGAAGCTGGGCTGGGAAGTGGCTCAGTGGTAGAGCGCTTGCCTTGCATGCATGAGGCCCTGGGTTCGATTCCTCAGCACCACATAAGCAAAAAGAAAAAAAGCCGGAAGTGGCACTGTGGCTCAAGTGGTAGAGCGCTAGCCTTGAGCTGAAGAGTTGAGGGACAGCGCCCAGGCCCAGAGTTCAGGCCCCACGACCGGCCCCCCCCCCCAAAAAAAAAAAAAAAGAATGAGAAGCTCTATATTCAAGCCCCAATACTGGCACACACATTAAAAAAAAGTTAAATAGAAAAAATAACATAGTCAACAAAAGTAGGCTATTGAGAAACCTGTCGTACAAATCTGCGATACTACACAAGTAGCAAGAAGGATTCTTTAGTTCTGATTGCCCTAGGTAGGCAGGTCACCGTTTGGCCTCTGTGGTCAGAAGCTCACATCATTCTAGATAATATTCCTAAATGTATATTTGGCTAAATTTGGAGTTGGACACACTTGGACTCAGTCTCCAGTCAGGGCAGAAGGCGGGGTTTTGGTCTTTCCTGTGTAGCGAGGGCAGGCACTAATGGGTCTTCCTCCTCTCCCCCGGCATTAGGAAAGTGGGAATGCCCATGGCATCAGTGCAGCAAGTGTGGCAGTGCGGCCATTTCCTTCTGCGAGTTCTGTCCACGCTCATTTTGTAAAGAGCACGACAAGGGGGCTCTGGTTCCCTCTGCGCTGGAAGGCCACCTTTGCTGCTCCGAACATGACCCCCTGTCTCCCGTGTCATCGGAGTACTGGAGCAAGATCAAGTGTAGATGGGAATCTCAAGATCATGGAGAAGAAGCAGGAGAATAAATGGATGATGATTTCCTCCCCTTCCCTTTTTATTTAAATGAAATGAAAAGAAGCAAGCAAGCAGATAATGTGTTAAAAAGAAGAGACTGTAGTACAGATAGCCGTTGCCATCAGAACTGCCTTATTAACAAAAATAGGAAATGGTTCCACAGGCAGAAGTAGTTGGTATGTCTGGTTTTTCTGTTATATTGCTTTGGGGATTCTTTATGGAGGGTTAAATTCCCTTGGTTTTTCCTTGCCTTTTATTGTACTTCAAATCCTTTGCAGAGTGGGGCAAAGAAGTGTCTTTGCTTTTAAAGAAAAAATTGAAAAGGAAAGTTTTGTTAATGAGATGGCTTAAAGTCTTAAATGTGCTCCTTGGTTATAGAAAGCAAAAGTAGCATTCCTTTATCTTCATTTTTACAAGTTTCACAAAGTGTGTTTCAAATGGTCTAATCAGTGTGTGTGTGTGTGTGTGTGTGTGTGTGTGTGTGTGTGTGTGTGTTCAGTAAGGAATTGGAGGGAAACCCTCTAGAAAAGGGTGTGACCACTTTTTGTACCTCTTTCCTGAGCGGTTGGTGGGCTGACTTCTTTCCCTTCCACGTCTTTCGCAGAAGAGCTCTGCAAGTATTAAATCTGGCCTTTTGGAAACCAAGGCCTCACTGCCTTTGTGTTCTTAAAGTAGGTGGACTTGGTGATACGGTATCTGTACCTAGAAAGGCAGATGGATGGAGAAATGAATGTGCTCACTGATTCTGAAATATCATCCACTGGTAGTGGGCTTTTCTGAGACACTGCATATAGTTAACATGAATGCACAGTGGAGTGTCACTCCCATCCTCTGGATGCAGGATGAGGTAGCTAAACAGAGATGCAAGGCACAAACTAGAAACTGGATCTTAGAATTCCCACCTTTTTTTCCAATTTAGTATAGACCCATTCAGACTTAGAATTAATGGCATTTTGTTTTCTGTGTATTTCCTTGTTCCAGTCAGACATTTCCTTTGCCAACTGACCATTCAGTCATGTTTCTTGGCAAAGCTACACAAGTGAATTGGAGTTGGGTTCGAATGGATCTTTTTGTGGGGGTTCCTAATAGGAACGGGGTAAAAGCAGTAGGACCATCCTCACATTCTATGTAAACAATTTTTTAGTATTACCTAATAGTTAAAATTACCCCTGTTTTATAAGGGGAAGAAGTTCTACTTTTACAGGGTATATAAAAACTATACAAACACTTCATCTTAGCAAGCATGTGGAGAAAGCTCCCAAGAAAGTCAGTGTTAGCCAAAAGAGTTGACTAGGATGTTTGAATCTTACAGACCCAAGTATATTGGGTATTTGTCTACAAAATCACCACATATATTGCTTAGGAGTGTGTATATTCAAGTATTCCTTGTATGAAATCCTTAGTAATGATTGTTATTACACCATATAAATAGAAGTCTAGGGTTAGCCTGAGTGAATATTAACTTTCTCTGTGAATTTGATTGCTTACAGATGCTGGTACCTGGTAGCATTTATTTTCCCTTAACCTAGTTACCTTATGAACTTCAGGAGGGTGGACGCTCTCCCACATTCCTTCAGTTGTGTTTGTTCCATTTTATTGTCTATTTAGAGCTCTTTCTGGAAAGAAAAAGAGCTATTTGTGCCTCTCTTTTTTGTATAAAAATGTGCAATTATACTGGATTTTCTCTTACAAAGAATAACAGCAACAACACTACAATTCCTATATGTAAGCTCCTAAACTGCCATTTGCCTGATTATAGTCATTAATTCTGGGGAGACTTATTTGGCTTCCAGTAATTTTGTTGATTAGATATGATCCCCAAAGAAAGAATAAAATGGAAAATTCTACACATTACCAAGTCTAATCGTAAAAGTAATGTGAAATAAACAGCTCATGAAAACACTAGACTTTGCTCTTGAGCAATTACATGTAGTTTGATGTCCTTTTAAAAATAATTTAAGAAAATCTAGGTTTTATTGTACTAAAGTCTTATTTTATATAAATATATGATAAATATATGTTTTTTTAAACTTACTAACAAGAATTTCCTTTAATACAAATGCAACTCTTGTTGGAACTATCCAAATGATATTGTATCTTGTTTTCTTTTCAAGTTAATGCTATTTAATATCTGATGACTTTTATATAGTGAGCCCAGGTATCATGTACTGCAAATACCTTAGGTTGGAGTGCTTTTATGTAGCTTCTGCACTGGGCCACATTTTGTTTTTATATCTGTAACAACTCTGCTCTGCAGAGACTTTTTAAAAAATTTTTTTAATGAATAATAGGATTGTTCTGTCATTTCAGAAATCAAAGTAGAAAACTAAATAGCTAACCACAACTCCAGTGTTTGAAGGTCTAAACAATGGTTTTGGTCATGCTAGGGCCAAGGACCTCCCTGTTGACCACTTCCATAAATCATGAAAGCAGCAAGCTAGTGGTCTGTGGGTAGACACACACATGTACTGTGCTTGCCTGTTCTGCTTAATCAGCCTCAAGTTGCTGTTTGTTCATTTTAAAATCTACATGTGACCATAGCATAAGTGGTTGGTTTTTGTTCCTGCCCCAAATGAAGTAACTTTTAAAGCAGCTTGGGATCACGGTGGTGTTTTATAACCTCATGTGGATTGCTTGGAGGGACAAGTGAACATAACATTTTTGAGCATCAGCAAAAACTTCAGAAATTGGATGACTAAGAGTTAAATATGGAGCAGGAAAATCTTCCTAGGCACTGCAGGGAAAGCAGGACTGGCATGTGCACACACACACACACGCTCCAGGCTCTGTGGTCTGCTGAGCAGAAGGGAAGATGCCCTTTGCCCCTAGCATGCAGAAGCAGCTGGGGGCTTCATTTCAAGTCAGCTCTGGAGATCACAGTGAGGTGGGGTTTACTTTCATTTTTGTTTTAAAGTTCCCACACTGTTTCCTCACAAATAAGATCTGGCATAAGCTGTTGAATGGACTGAGTTTTAAAATCATGAAGATTGCTGTGTAAGTCAGTAACACATCTGAACACTGAAAAGATAACTGGAGAAAGGGGAAAATGCTGCCTCCCCTTTCCTGCCACTACCATGTAGTATATAGAAACATGCCTGTAAATAATGTAGGACACAGATGGTATCGCATCATGTGATATGATCTCAAATGGGACAAGATTCCATGAAATAGCCTCCTTTTTGAGTTGTTTCTTGCATGATGTATTGCAAGCAGGGTTAGACCCAGATCTGCAGTCCAGAATGGAATCCCCGTACTGCCATGGACTGTTGCTTATCATCTTTAAATGCAAAGCTTTCCTTTGAGCATTCACCATAAAGACAAAGTACTGCCAGTCACACACCATGTCCCTAACAGGGTAAGAAGACAAGTAGCCCTGAGTCCTTACAAGCTTGCAAAGCTTGTATTTGCAGTACTTCATGCAGTAACAGTGAGGTGATATAAAGTTGTTTTGTTGCTGGGCAATGCAGACTAGAATTAATTTTTACAAGGTCGTTGTATCTATTTCCCTCCACTTGTCCAAGCTGCTGCAAACAGGAGGTGATCAAATGGACCGGTTTCCTTCAGTTTAGGGCCACCTTGAGCTGGTCTCTGGTTGTTAACAAGCAAAAGGTAGAACTTGGCTCCCTTTTTAGATGGAGTAGGAAATAGATATAATTAGGCAGCTCTGCAATGTATTCACCAATATTGAATAGTTGAAGATTTGTATTACTGAAATCTCATCCTCCTTTGCCTGGGATGGGGCATCAAGGGTTCTGGAAAAGAAAAAGAGTTGTAAGAGTAAGGGAGGGGAAAGCTGATGTTTACCACAGGTACGATGTAGTCACCTTAACACTGAGACCTCTGCCTCATTGAATTCAGGTTTTTTAAGTACTTGAAGCTCTTCAGATGCTCTTTATTTTATAGTTTCATTTTAAATTTATGAACTACAAAGCATTGTTTTGTATACTGTTTTAAAAATATCCTAGTCTCTTAACCCTCCTTAACTGGGATTAAAGACCAAGTTCTTCAAATGGGGGAATATATTCATAGTTGATATCTTAGATTTATTGTCTACCTTTGGGGAAGAGACTCTTGCATGGATACCAGCAGCATTTTTATGAAAATTTCCTAGTAAGTTTTTTATTTTGTCTATCTGTCAACCCTTTTCCCAAGTACCTCTTTTCCTTTTTAATAAATACATGCCTGTGTTAGGGAAAAAATATTGCACTTATGTATGTTACACTCCTACAATGCTGTGTGTAACTTTCAAAAACACATTTCCGTTTTCGTGGCTTTTTGTCAGTCCATTGAAAATTGACAAATGTGAGCACTTGTGGTACAGATGTATGAAGGGGGTAGAGGAAGAGAATTACCAGTCCTCATTAGGCTCTAAAAGTCATTAACATGTAAGTAAAAAGGGAAAACCGGATAGTTGCCAAAGTCATTATTGAGTCCTCAGTTTTCCTACGAAATGGCTCCATGGTAACGAAGCACCTTAGCTTCCCGATGCCCACAGCTGTGCCCACAGCCTCTTCATGTGTTGCAAGTGGCTCACAAGCGTCAGCCACATGGCTTGTACAAGATACAGAGTATTTAAAAGATAACCTTGTCCATTTAAAAGTGGGCTGAATAAATTTGCTTTTTTGCTGTTATTAATATTTTTTTTAATCTCATTGGATGGAGGTATGGCTCAAGTGGCAGAGCATTTGCAAGGCCCTGAGTTCAAACCCCAGTACCACCCAAAGAGAATTTTTAAAAAAGGATCTGTTTTGTTACATGCCCTATGTGGAGATGTTGTTGGCACTAATTAACCAAGATGCTAAATGATTACAAGTGACTGAAAAGATCATCTTTTTATATTCAAGGGCATGTGCATTTGGAAGTAATGACAAATTCATTTGTACCCACAGTAATGTTGCACAACAGATACCTACAGATTCCCTTTCATTTTTTTTCATATGCTTTACATAATGGCCTTTGTAAAACTGTTATTTCTGTAATAAACTTTATAGATCCTATGAAATGTTATTTTGCCTAAATCTCTTGAGACTTGAGTCTAATAACAAAGCATCACTATCTATCCATTAATGTCAGAGTTTCTGTGACTTGCCTAGAAGCTCTTGACACTAAAGGATTCGTGTTAATTCTCCCTGGGAATGTTCCACTAGGGGCATTACTGTACATGACTCCATGCTGCCACATCGAGTTCAAGATGTCATATTTTGAGGATTTTGATTGGCCTGTTTTATTGCAAAGTGTGAAGCGTGCAAAGCTTGGTTAACCTGTATATAGCTAGCTTATTGTGGACTAGTTATAGTGCACTTAGGATTGCCTGTAATATCTAAGCTTCTAACTGATGTTGTACTAGTAGGAACATGTCATTTTTGTACATTATATTTACTGAAATGTTGCCTTTTTTATTTTACAAATACTTTGGAATTCAAATGTGTTTTCAGGTTCTGTGAGGATTGATTTGGAAACGTTTTTAATGACATTCCACTAATTTCCGATTTTGCTTGAGATCAACCTCAATAAATTGTCTTGTATGTTCCAAGTTCAGTATGTGGGCTTGTTCTTTGCCTGTAATGTCTTGCTACCACTCACTGGGGCAGAAGGCTGTCACCAGGGCCATGAGGTGACACAAAACTGCCCGTCTCAGCCGGCTTTTCTTCCTTCAGTACTAAGGACCCGAACCTTACAGTGACCTTGCCGTGGTTGACGATGCCCCTGCTTTGCCAGGCACCCATGATGTTCTATGGCACTGGTTTGAGACCCAAAGGCGGTGTGCAGCGTGGCCGGAAGCGGGCTCCCTGTGGACAGAAGCCGGGCCCGCGCGGCTGGCTTTTCCTCTCTGGGAAGGTGGCGCTCGGCCGCTCGCCCCGCTGCCCCTCCCACTTCCTGCTTCCTGGAGACTCGGCCGTCAGCCGGCCCTGGACCCAGGGCCGCTCTCCACCTGGTCGAGCTGGGCTGCCCTCGGCGCGTGCCTGCCATGTCGCTGTGTCTGTCTGTCCGAAGCGGCGTGCCGGGGACGGCGGTGGCCTGTGGGGTCGAAGTGTGCGTGCGGGTCGTGCTGTTCGTGGCCTTCCTGTAAGGGCGTGCGGGGCCCGGCCCGGGCGCGGCGGCTCCGTGCGCTCCGCGGGAGCTCAGGCCCTCTGTTCCCCCAGGGTGACCGAGCTGCTGCCCCCCTTCCAGAGGCGCATCCAGCCGGAGGAGATGTGGCTGTACCGGAACCCGTACGTGGAGGCGGAGTACTTCCCTGCCGCGCCGACCTTTGTGCGTGGGGGCTCGGCGTCGCACCCTGGTGGCTAGCTGCTCCGCAGCGGGCAGGCCGCCCGGGCTGGCGGGGGACAGGGGGACGGGACGGCGGGGGAGGGGGGGTCCGCCGGGAGCCCGGCCCGCAGCCCCTCCGGAGGAAGTTGGCTCACGCAGCGGGGCCAGCAGCAGGCCCGCGGGCGCTGGGCGCTGGGCGCTGGGCGCGGCGGCCCGCGCGGGATGCCGCTGGAGCTGTGCTGTGCTGTATTCCGCCTGTCAGGTCATCGCGTTTCTCTCTCCGCTGTCTCTCATCTTCCTGGCCAAGGTTTTCAAGAAGGCTGACGCCACAGACAGCAAACGAGCCTGCCTAGGTAAGAGCTAACCCCTCCTGCTGCTCTTGGTGTCGGCAGCGAGATGGCAGTGATTGGGGGGTTCAGCCAACCTCTACCCGAGACGGACCGCTGGTACAGTAACCACCCACTGGTGAACAGGCAGGCACTGGCTTCTTTCCCATTCGTGTCTTGGCCTGCTCAAGCGGTGGTCCTTGAGGGCCTCATGGTGGGACACAGATTTTGGGATTGTCTGGGGTGAGCAGGGCCGACAGCACTAACAGCTGCTTTGCTTTCCAGCAGCCACCCTTGCCCTCGCCCTGAATGGTGTCTTTACCAACACAATAAAGCTGATAGTGGGGAGGTGAGTGACTCGTCAGCAGCCGAGGCCTCAGCTTTTTCTCTCCCTTTTTCTTTTCTTTTTTGGCCAGTCCTGGGGCTTTTCCTCAGGGCCCGGTGCTATCCCCCAGCTTTCTCACTCAAACATGACCTCTGCCACTTGAGCCACAGCTCCACTTCCTGCTTTTTGGTGTTTATTTGGAGCTGAGTCTCATTGGACTTTAATGCCAGGCTGGCCTCCATATCTACTTTTTTCTCTTTTTTCATTCCCCAGAAGCTGCCTGCTCTCTCTTCTATCCTGAACGTAACCGCTAACCTTATTACAGCCTTTTGGCATTTGCCACCAAAACCACAGCCACCTGTGGTGTCTGGCATACCTCTGAAATCACCCGTGATTAGCTGTGATTGCCCTGAAATGCGATCACATGCTAGAATGACTTTTCTTCTTTTCCTAATTTAAATATTGGCCCCAGGACTAAGGCTGTTTTTCTCTTAGTGTGATTATCCCAATCCAGTTTTAATATTATTTTGTCTGGGACATGTGACTAACATGTACAACTAAAAAGTACTTCAAGTGTGAATGATGTTTGCTTAACCTATGCTTATTTTTTCCAGGCCACGCCCAGATTTCTTCTACCGCTGTTTCCCAGATGGGCTAGCCCACCCTGAGTTGATATGCACAGGGGATAAGGACGTGGTCAATGAGGGCCGCAAGAGCTTCCCTAGTGGACATTCTTCCTGTATGAAGTTCATATGGACTCTGTTTCTATTCTTTCTTCATTACATTTAATGGAAAGCTGGTAGTGGGAGGAATATCTAACCCCAGTTGCGCTGTGCCTACCAGCAGGAACCCCTGCAACTTCACTAGTCCTGAAGAGTAGCATAAATATTAGCACACAGGGTTAGTCTCATGAAATCTGCACATTTTATTACTATGTGCTTAAATCCTAGTAGTATTCACAGAAAATCCTAACCTTTACTGAAGTTACTGTGTAGTCAAGTATGCTGAAGCTTTTTATTATATTCCTACCTCATTTGTAGATCACAATAACCCAATGAGGTACTATTATTTTTATAATTCCCATCTATGGAAAGCAAAAGAAACCTGTCCAAAGTTGTGTAACTTGCACTCCCAAAACTAATCTCAAGTAAAATATGACTGAATTTATGACACAAAATGTCCTATATTTTTTCTTTCCTTTTTCCTTATAACTGTACACAGAAACATACAAAAAGGGACAGCGCAAACTCTTTTGCCCTGGCCTCCTGTGGGGAGATGAGTGGTTTCCAATAGGACGCACATTAGTTGTGGGTTTTCTCTTCTAGTTGCGTTTGCTGGCCTGGCCTTTGCCTCCTTCTACCTTGCAGGGAAGTTACACTGCTTCACACCACAAGGGCGCGGGAAATCTTGGAGGTTTTGTGCCTTTCTGTCACCTCTCTTTTTTGCATCTATAATTGCTCTGTCCCGCACCTGTGACTACAAGCACCACTGGCAAGGTAAGATGAGTCATGCCTCAAGAGTGTCTATGTTTCACTCATCTTTATCCTTAGAGACTGGCAAAGAGAAACTTTACTCACCAAGCATCTGTTCAATGAACAAGTAAGTGTGTGTAGATAATCTGGGTTCTGTATTATGTGCATCTTAAGGCCAGATGAGAGGCAAACATTATCCTTTTAAAGAGATTACCAAAATAGAACTTGTGATTTTTCCATTATTTGAAGCATGAGACTGAATTGAATCTGTAAAAAATACTTTTAAGCCAGGCATGGTGGCACCAACCTGTAATCTCAGGACTTGGAAGGCTGAGGCAGAACTGGGAGTTCAAGGCCCCCTGGACTACACAGGGAGATTTCTAAGGATATTGTCCGAAGATTTTCATTCCAAAACAAAACTCATGAGACATAAAATTATAGTTAAACCAAAGAAAGTTAATCTGAACGCTATAGTAAAACACCCAAATTTTAAAAAAAGGATTGCCAAAGAAAAGCCGCAGTTGAAGTCTGACAAGCTGGCAGTGTTGCTCGGAGGCCTCAGGAGCTATATCTTAATAAGCAGAGAAGCTGGGCACCAGTGGCTCACCTCAAGATACTAGGAAGCTGAGAACTGGATAAATGCAGTTTGAGGCCAGCCAGGACAGGAAAACTCACTAGGTTCCATCTCGTTAATCAAAAAGCCAGGCTAGTGGCATGGCTCAAATGGTAGAGTGCCAGTCACGCAGACAAGCTGAGCAAGAAAGCCCTGAGTTGAAACCCCAGCACCAGCCCAAAAAAAAGAAATGAGAGGTAACTCCTGAGCCTGACCGTAGCCTATGCTAGCCTCAAACTCTCCATCTTCCTGCCTCAGCCACCAGTATTAGGTTACAGGCTGTGCCACCATGCCCAGCCAGAACTCTTGACATGGTGAAAACAGGTCAATGAATAGCACTAGAAGAACATTTGTTATTCTTCTGAATTAAAATTAATTTAGTCCACTTTGAACAGCAATTACTGACTAAAGGTATAGGGGGTTTTGTTTGTTTAAACTAGTCCTGGGGCTTGAACTCAGGGCCTGGGTGCTATCTCTTGAGTTTTCTTGCTCAAGGATAGTGTTCTACCACTTGAGCCACAGTGCCACAGTGTATGATTGGAGATAAGTGTCTCCTGGACCTTCCTGCTTAGGCTGGCTTTGAACCATGATCCTCTAGGATTTCAGGTGTGAGCCACCAGCATCCAGCTTTAAAGGTGTTTTAACTGAGTACTTTGTAACACTAAACGATACATTTAAGAAAGCCTAAAAAAACCATAAATGCAGAGTTGAGGCTTTTTCAGCTCCTATACATATAGTATCCTCAAGGATCAAGTTGTTTAATATTATGCGGCGTCTAAATATGATTGAAGAATCTAATTGACTACAAAAAGATTTTATTTCTTCTCTCCTCAGATGTATTAGTTGGGTCCATGATTGGAATGACCCTTGCCTATGTGTGCTACAGGCAGTATTACCCTCCTCTGACTGATGTGGAATGTGATAAACCACTTCAGGAAAAACACATGCTTCCCACTGCTCAGAAGAAACCTGGTATTCCTTACTGTATGGATATTTAAAAGTCGAATTTATCTCAGTGGAGAACAAATGAATCACCCCTCCTAACAAACATACACAAGACAGGAATTTCTGGCCTTTTAACTCCTTCCAAGGTACAGATGATATTGGGCCTTCTGTTATGCACTTTGCCCTACTTCACATGGATCTATCATGAAGACTCCAGGCCATTCTCCACCTCTGAACGCGTCTCCAGCGTCTGGTCCATCAGACTGGCATCCCCAAATCCTGTTTTTCCATTTAATCTCAATGCTTGCTCTTTGAAGCATCTTTCCACAAAACAGACTACATAGCACCACTTTATCCTAGAAGCTGGAGTTAAAAATCACTGAAACGTAACTTGAAGTCTTAAACTCTGGGGCCTAATCAACTGAAGTTTGAATTTTTTTACTTTCTCTAGTGAAAATTCTATCAAGCTTTAAGGGAGAAAATGTCCAATTTTGGTTGATGCTCCACTGCTGAACCTATGTTATCAAGTCCAGACATCTGATACTGTTTTCCATTTTGTTGAATTACCATGAGAACATAGTAAAAAAGAAAATGGTGAGGACTGTGATTTCAGCACTCCCAGGTAATTCTACCTCATTTGTCTCCGAACTGTGCTCAAGCATTTCTTGCCAGAGTCAACTCTGCCAGCTGACCATTTGTTATGTGGAGACTCTGAGCATCTTTTCCTGTCTTCTCCTACGGAACACCTGTGTTACATTATGAGAGCACTACTGTAGGATCTATCACTGCCTTTCTCTTTTGGAACTATACTTTAAATATGATTTTGTCTTACGCTTATCTTTCTACAGGATACGTTCCATGCATTTTCTTCTTTAAGTCAACATGATATTCAAATAAATGGTGAATATTACTTTTTGTTTTAATACCACTGTAGGGCTGGACTGTGAACACTGGTGTCCCCATCACACATAAGTGATCAATACCACTGCTCTCTGTAGCACTAGCTGATATTTATACGAACGGAAGGACCATTTCTGAATTGACCTTGTAATTTCCACACTTTAAATTTTGAACTATATTTGCCTATGACAATGAAAATACTAGTCATAGGAACATAACTTAGTATTAGTTCTTTGCCTGAAACTTTTGTTTTAAACTTATTTTGGTAAGACATAAGAGAAGCAAATAGTTACTGCACTAATTTTCCTTGTGATAGATGAGGCCAAACAAAAGTAGGCAACTAGTCAATACAGTTTTATTTTAGTATTTACTAAAGTTTTGTATATAATCACGTAAAAAACAAACATTTCAAAAGTGCAAAATATTAGAAAGCTAATCAGTGCTATCAACTTTCCAAGCAAACAGTGACTTATTGAAATAAGCAATCTTAATTCTGTAGCTAGGAGTACGTAAAAAATAATGTTACATTGGAGTCTAAAAATAGGCTTGGTCAGAGATTGCACATGATACAAGTGAAGCAGTGCAAATGATGCATGACTAAATAAAGAACTTCAATCGAGCTTATTAAATGTGTGTACTATGCAGCCAGAATTCCACTAGTAGAAGGATGAAGTAAACCACCAGGAAAGGAGGCTTCCATTCCACTCCAGTGGTTCCTTTAGTTCTACGGGTGTTAAGCTGTCCATCTTTGGTTACGTTACAGGACTCAACTCTTAGTTGTCCTTTGGTTTATTCTTAAACAACTAGTTGAAGACATCAACTTGACAAAACTCTTACTCAGAATTTATATAATAATAAAAATAAGGAATTCCGTTTATCTGAAACTTAGCAGCTTACTTGTTCAGCACTTAGTCCATATGCAGATGATAAGGAAAGGCCAGGCTTGACTGTTACCTAACCCTCTCCTCCATAAACATAGTGACAATAATTAACCTCCTTGTCTATACAGAAAAAGTTAAAGACCATTACTATCTGAGGAATGGCTTCAGTGACTATTAATACCAGTGCTTTGGATACCATGATATATTGGCCAAAATATTTTATAAATTACAAAATATAGGTTGCCTACCTCTGCCACTTGTATCTCTGGAAATCCAAGAGGAAGCCTAAAGGGCTCATAAAGAGAACTGAATGACAATAAATGCTGTTAAAGGGAAGAAAATACCTACAGCAAAGTTGTGAGCAGATGCTTAGGAAAAAGTTTAGTCTATAGTCACCTGTGTTCTGCAAGGTAAATCTCACTGTGCATGCTCTTAACTGACAGTAACTGCAGTAGCTGCTCCTGGAACTTACAGGCATAGGGTCGGGTTTTTTTCAGAATAGTTATGTCCTCCTAGTCAGATGCATTTGCTCAACTAACACAGCCTTTTAAATAAGCATTCTGTTTAACAGTACCGATACTTACAAAATGTTTTTGAAGAGAACATCACAGCACCACCTTTATCCAAGTGGGACTGGTAGGTGATTTCAACTGTTTCACAAGGTACCCCCAAGAGATTTCATTTATAACCTAAGTAGCCAGTAAAGGCCATACAATGTCAGGTTCATCAGCTTTTACAACTTCACCCTCAACACAAGAATACAAGTGTTATCAAAGAATTACCTAAAATCTCACCCCAAATCCCACAATTTGAAGTATGGTATAAATGGGGCATCTATAATAGATAACATCATTGCTTTATACAGATGTACCTACTGTGAATTAAATTCTCCACTTTAGACTTATAGCAGCTCAGTCATAAAAACAATGAATAGCGTCAGTGTTCCCTAGCAGTAAGTCCAGTTCTAAGAGTGTAAATAATGTTCTTCATGGTAGCTCACACTTGTAATCCTAGCACCAGGAAAGCTGAGGCAAGAGATTACAGCTTCAATGCCAACCTGGGCTACATAACATAGCAAGATCCTGTCTCAGAAAAAAACAAAAACAAAAAAACCCAATTCTTATCCAGCTTCATTCCAGTCTATCTTGTCATAAACACGAAGGAAAGAAACAAGGTAAACCTAGTAGCCTTCCTCGATACCCACCTAGATTAGCATTCAGTGCAAAAAAAAAAAAAAACAGATAAGTGTACCTTTAAATGCCTTCAGTATTTCAAGACTCTGCTCCCAAATTAGAATATCATTTTCTAAAAATAAGCAATAATTTCCTTTAAAAAAAACAACTAACCAACCCTAAACCAATCTAAAACAAATAGACCATATTCCATCTCATGAGATCAGCAAGAAGTGTGGCGCCTAATATCACCAGACAATTAGATGATTCAAATGCCCCCATAAAGAGTGGCAAGTGTTTACTTGAAGTCGGTGGTAAAATGGAAATAGCATCTTCCCCTTGCCTTTCCACTCAATTCCAAAAAGGGAGATCATCTTCCAAAGACATGGTGCATAACGAGCAGACAACATGCAGGAAATGATGCAGCTGAAGAGAAGATTTCAGCAACGAACAGGTGGGTTTTCAGGGGAAGGACCCCTCAAAGTCCATCTAGGGAAAGAGTAGAAGAGGTCACGCAGTCACAACTGGAGGCAAACAGCAACAATACAGAACACTACAGGCTTTCTTGTTTCACATCTGAGAGGATGAGTATTATAAAGCTCAGAATGGGCTATCCACTGTTACTTGCCAGAGTAACTCTTGGATAATCAAAACTGTTAAGATTCTAAATTCAAATCTTAAAAGATGTCATTAGACAAAATCCCAAGCACAATGTTGTTAAGTGGGCAGTTGAACACCTTCTCTAAATTTTAACCAGTCTCTAGTGAACAATAGCTTAAGGCTCCACAATTCCTTTTAACATGCTAACATGTAAGCACTACACTGCATACATGACATTTTAAAACTTACATTAAACCAAGTGCTGGTAGCTTGTGCCTATAATCATAGCTATTCAGGAGGCTAAGATCTGAGAATTTCAGTTTGAAGTCAGCCTGGGCAGGAAAATCTGTAAGACTCTTATCTCCAATAACCACCAAAAAAAAAACAAAAACAGAAGCAGAGCTGTGGCTCAAGTGGTAGAATACCAACCTTGAGTGAATAAGCTAATTAACAGCCCTGAGTTCAAACGCCTGTACTGGGGAGAAAAAACAAAAAAGCCAACTTACATTAAACAACTATAGATGGATCATTTTATTGTAAGGGCTGATCAAGAAAGATACCCTGGGTTTGGTAGATCTCTTTGAGAACCAACAATACTGTATCTTCAGACTCCCTGTAAAAGGAAAACCTTATATTGAAAAAGGACAGAATGAGTATCTGCTGAATGCTTTGCATGTATTATTTTAATCCATACAATTACCTTCAAGCACATTTTTCACTACTCCAAAAATATGTAATCCAGAGGTGACATAATTAGCAATGGTTTGGAAAGTGATCTAACATGCTAGAACTCTAGCATGTCTGGAAACATTCATGAAGCACTGCCTTACAGACATAAAGCTTAAACATTTCTCTAGATCTATGGTTCATTTTGGGTCATGAATTTAAGAATCTAATGAGGTCTATAAACTTCTGTCCAAGAAAGAGAAAATATATATAATCAGAACTACAAACTTGGATTTCAGTGGCTTTATAGACTACCTTCCACCCCATCCCCAAACTCCAAACACAGATCCCAAGAAACTCCTAAATCAACAAGAGAAAATTAGGTATACCAGATATAAACAGATCAATAAAAAAGGACTTTCAGGGCTGGGAAGGTGGTTCAGTGGTAGAGAGATTGCCTTGCATGCTCAAGTCCCTGGGTTCGATTCCTCAGTACCACATAAGCAAAAAGAAAAAAGCTGGAAGTGGTATTGTGGCTCAAGTGGTAGAGCGCTAACCTTGAGCTGAAGAGCTGAGGGACAGCGCCCAGGCCCAGAGTTCAGGCCCCATGACCAGACCCAAAAAAAAAAACAAAAACAAAAAAAAAAGGACTTTCAGGGCTGGGAACGTGACTTATGGTAGACGGCGTGCCTCGCATGCATGAAGCCCTGGGTTTAATTCCTCTGTACCATAAAAACAGAAAAAGTTAGAAGTGGCACTATGGCTCAAGTGATAGAGTGCTAGACTTGAGCAAAAGAAGCTCAGTGCCTAGGCCCTGAGTTTAAGCCCCAAGACTGCCCCCCCTCCCAAAAAAAGGACTTTTAAGACATAGTCCCATTAGGTATAGTAGTTTAACAATATCAAATCTATTAATAGTGTTGAGACAACTGAGAAAAAGACATGACCTAGATCTATCCTTAATCATTATTAAGATAAATTTAAGCTATAAAACATTACAATAAACTATAAGGATTTTTTAATAAGGAAGACACAAATTATAAAGTCCAGAAAGCAAAGACCAAAGTAAAAATTATGTTTTTACTTGGCAAAAACCAATATTGTTAATACCAGAAAACAAACTGAGGAAAATACAGTACTCAATCCAATACTGTCAATATGAAGTAAAGGATGTAGATAACCCCTAGAAAAGGAAATTAAAATGACAAGAGGCTCAATTTTATTCATAAAAGGAATACAATTAAAACTTATAGTGTACATGGGATATGTACATTTAAAAACTATAAAATATCACTAACAGAAATTAAAGATGGTCTAAATAAACTGAAAGATACATTTATGGCCCAGAAAACTCAGTCTAACACTCAGAATTATTAAAATGTCAGCTCTCTATAGATAAAATGCAATTAAAGCTGCCTGCTGGTGGGTGGCTCACACCTGTAATCCTAGCTGCTCATGAGGCTGAGATTTAATACTGAGCTTCAAAAGAGAGTTTGGGGAGGAAGTCTGAGACTCTTTTTTTTTTTCCTTTTTTTTTTTGCTGGTCATGGGCCTGAACTCTAGGCCTGGCTGCTGTCCGGGAGTTCTTCAGCCTTCAAGGCTAGCACCCTACTTGAGCCACAGTGCCACTTCCAGCTTTTTCTGCTTATTTGATATTGAAGAATTGAACCCAGGGTCTCATGCACGCAAGGCAAGCACTTTACCACTGAGCCACCTTCCCAGCCCAGTCTGAGACTCTTATCTCCAATTAACTATCAAAAACACCTGAAGTGAGCTGGGTGCGGTGGCTCACGCCTATAATCCTAGCTACTCAGGAGGCTGAGATCTGAGTATCTCGGGAAAGTCCATGAAACTCTTATCTCCAATAAACCACCAGAAAACCAGAAGTGGCACTATAGCTCAAGTGGTAGAGCACTAGCCTTGAGCTGAAGAGCTGATGGACAGTGCTCAGGCCCAGAGTTCAAGGCCCACCACCGACCAAAAGAAAAAAAACAACAACAACAAAAAAAAAAAACTAAAGTGGAACTGTGGCTCAAGTAGTATACGTGCCAACTTTGAGCGAAGTGAGAGAGGACTGAGTTCAAGCTATTTGTCTTTATGACAATAAAACACCATCTGGGTCATTGTGGTCTTATAAACTTTGAATTCAGGTAATATAAATATCTCATTTTTGTTGTTTTGTTGGTTGTAGGGCTTGAACTCAGGGCTTGGTTGCTGTCCATAGCTTTTCCACTCAAGGCTAGCATTCTACCACTCTGAGCCACTGCACCACTTTCAGTTTTCTGGTGGCTAATTGGAGATAGAAGTCTCACAGACTTTCCTGCCTGGGCTTGTTTTGAACTGTGATCCTCAGATCTCAGCCTCCTGAGTAGCTAAGATTACAGGCATGAACCACCAGCGCCTAGCTGTCATGTTTTTATTCAAGGTTTGGCTATTGTATTTTCCAATATATTTTAGAATCAACTTCTTAATTTCTACAAAGACATTTGCTAAGACTGATATTTGTCGCTCATCTACAGATCAATTTAGATTCTTTTCTGTGCCCATACTAGGATTATAGGCATGAGCCACTAGCACCTGGCATCTACCAAATATTTGTAAAACAATTAAAGAACACAGAAAAAGACAGAAACAAGGTGGGCATAGTAACACATGCCTATAATCCTAACACCTGGGAGACTGAGGCAAGAGGACTGTAAGTTCAAGGCCAACCTAGGCTATATGCCAAGACTCTGTCTCAAAAAAAAAAACAAAAACAAAAACAGGGCTGGGAATGTGGCTTAGTGGTAGAGTGCTTGCCTAGCATGCATGAAGCCCAGGGTTCCATTCCTCAATACTACATAAACAGAAAAAGCAAGAAGTGGTGCTATGGCTCACATAGTAGAGAGCCCTAGCCTTGAGCAAAGAAGCTCAGTGACAGTGCCCAGGCCCTGAGTTCAAGCCAAGAAAGAAAGAAAGGAAGAAAGAAAGAAAGAAAGAAAGAAAGGAAGGAAGAAAAGAAGGAAGGAAGGAAGGAAAAAAGAAAAGGCAGGCCCTGGTGGCTCCTACCTGTAATCCTAGCTAGTCAGAAGGCTGAGATATTAAGAATCATAGTTCTAAGACAACACAGGCAGAAAAGTCAATGACACTACATCTAAATTAACCAGGTAAATGCCAGACTGGAAGTGTGGCTCAAATGGTAAAGTGCCAGCTATGTGTAAGAAAACTGAGTGAGAAGAACTGAGTTCAAGCCCCAGTACTGGGTACCCACAAAGAGAGAGAGAGAAGGAGAGGGAGTGAGAGGAGAAAGTAGAGGGTAGGGGGAGGGAGAGAAATAGAAAGAGGCTAAGATCTGAAGATTATGGTTGGAAGCCAGTGTGGGCAGGAAAATCCATGAGACTCTCATCTCCAATTAATTAACAAAAAGCCAGAAGTTGAGCTGTGGCCAAAAAAAAAAAGCTCCAGTAAATAAAAAAAGGGGCTGGTAGTATGGCTCAGTGGCAAAATACTTGCCTGCCATGTGTGAGACTCTGGGTTCAATTGCCAACACTGACAAAACAAAAACTTAAAAGTCTGGAAGTGACACTATGGCTCAAGTGGTAGAGCGCTCCCCTTGAGCTCAGGGACAGCGAGCTCCCAGGCCCAGAGTTCAAGCCCCACAACCGACAAAAAAAACCAAAACAAATCAATTGCCAACACTGAAAGACAACAAAGCAAATAATCAAAACTCACCAGTAACATAGGTGGCTTTGTAAAGCAAATAAATATTCATTAAAACTTTCAATAGGTTTCTCCTGTAGCACATAGTCGATGCGCTGGCCTCCATTGAGCATTCCCACATTGATGGGGGGGTCTTCTTTCACTGCCACAGGGGGCTCTTCGGTGTTAACATCTAAATACAGGAGAGCCACTGTAAGAACCTAAGTCTGCAGGATTTCATGTTACTTCCCAGCAGATTACAAGTTTATCTTATGATGAGACACTCTATTCAGAAAGCTCTCTTTCCTTGCATTTTCTTTCCTAAAGCTCTTGCTAATATTGTCCAATCGCTTTTTTTGTGTGTGTGGATGTGTTCTCAACATATCCCATTACTTGCACCAGCAATAGCTAAATCATTCTGCTAAACTGGATGTAAGCAGGGACAAAGCTCTTTGGGAAATTGCAAACTAAAAGTGAAACTGAACAGGCAACATTCCAGCTATTCCCTAGACAGGAAAATAAAAGTGACCCACAAATATACAGACATTTATCCTATAAAAACAAGGAATTTCATGGAGCAGACTCTTCACATCACTCCCGTTGTTCCAAAATGGGGAACATTTTCAAGCCTAGTTAAGTTTGTCTTGACATTTTTTCTCACATATAATATTCTATTACAATTAATGGTTATTACTATAATAGTTAAGGTGAGCAGAATTGAAGATTGACTGCACTTCACATGAAGGGAAAAGAATATTATAGGTGAATAAGAACTCCACATCGTGGAGTTATTTGGCCTGATACCAATAATCAATGTGTGCAGTGTCACTGACCACTGGACTTTTCCAAACTTGACTCAGATTCTACTTCAGTTTCTTCTGCTGTTTCTGAAGCTTGTAAGGCAGGATATGGAGCTCTTGTGAAAGACTTCCAGGCCATCCGCAGTGAACCTAGCAAGTTGTTCTTAAGATCCATACTCATCCTGGTTAAGCCCTCTCTCAGTTCTGAAACATATAAAGAATATCAAATGGTATACAAGACAACATAGCAAGACAAAATGAATGAAGTCCATGTAGTTCATATCAGCCAGGAGGTCTAGAATTATCAAGTTCCACATGTAGACTTACCTAAGTGCATTCGCTTCCTGCCCTTATGATGTGGGATCAGCATTGGTTCAAATTCTACTCCGGGAACTATCATTGGTTCAATCCTATAGGCCACAGGATCAAACTACATTGAGGGAAAAAAAAACCAAAAACAGCTCTATTTATCCCTGCTGAACAAAGTCTGAGAAACTGTGTCACTTAGGTCAGAGTAATTATAAGCTTGAGGTGTGGCAAGGCTCAAGACATAGAGTATCTGCCTAGCAAGGGCAACACCCTGAGTTGACATTCTAGTACTACCAAAAAATAAAAAGAATATCCTAAGCTTAAAAAAAAAGAATGCTTCTTCTGCCCCATCATTTACAGGTCAATACTATTACAATTAGTTGTCCCATTATTAGACTAGACTAAAATGAATCAAACAATGAAAAGTAACATGCTATTTACCAATAAGCTCTAATATTCAGAAAAACCATGACAGCTGTACAATGCTTACAGGATGATAAATATTGAAGAAACCATTGCATGTTGGAAATCTGTAATTGGGATCAATTCTTTTTAGTCCTCGAACAGTAAGGAACATTCCGATAGGTGACCCAAAGGCAAAGAATATTTCTGGTTTATATTTGAGCCGGGGATATTTTACAGACACCTCAAAGAAGAAAACAAGAACATCTCTCATTAAAAACAAAAGTTACATCTGTTTCTACCATACAAATGGTAACAAGAAAAAAAAATATGACCAAAGAGAATTACCTGCCCAATGCCAACATCTAGATAGTCATCACTTCTGCTATCAGAACTGCTGCAGAATTCAGATCCTTTGGAGCTATTAACCTCAGAAGCAGATTGTGTTGGTCTATTAATACCCTAAAGAATAAAAAATAGTTAAGTGCGCTACTATATAGTAAAATAGCCAAAGTATTATTCAGGTTTCTCTGCTTTAAAAGGGTGTGTGCAGAAATTTTAAGTGGCAACAAATAAGGTTGCCTTTAGGCAGCAGTTGAATCTTCAGGCAACCATCATGAAAGAAAACAACAGAACACTGAAAGAAATGTTGAGGAGTTCTCTGAAATGCTGTGCTTCTCGAACCAAGACAAGTAAGATGTTGCTATGGGTACAGAATCTATTACAAACTAGACCAAGGAATTGGGACTTAAAATAGAATTAAGCCAGCTACAAAAAAAAAATGTTGAAAAAAGTTAATTATTAAGATATGGAAAGAATTTTTTTTTTTTTGGTCTGGTCATGGAGCCTGAACTCTGGGCCTGGGGTGCTGTCCCTCAGCTCTTCAGCTCAAGGCTAGTGCTCTACCACTTGAGCCACAGCGCCACTTCCGGCTTTTTTCTTTTTGCTTATGTGGTGCT